AGAGAGAGAGAGAGAGACATTCAAGATCTAGAGAGAGAGCTATGTCTCCAAGAAATTGAGAGAGGGAGGATGGCGATGGCATTTGCCCATTTGGGGAACTAGGGAAGACCAAAAGTATTGAAACAATTTTAGGGTTGGCGTTTTGGCCTTTGGGTAAACTAGAAATTCAGGTCTGGGTACCCGCCGGGTCGGGTATAGCAAGACCCGTATCGGGACCGGGGACTATCTGAGTATCCTTTATTGGATCCCAACCCTACCCGCGGATCCAAAACTTGGACCCATACCCGAACCTGTGTCAGGTATACCCGGCAGGTATGGGTCAGGTCTGGGTCCATTGCCACCCCTACTCAATCTCTTCATTTTCTTGAATTATTAACTATTGTAGTATTACACTATCTACTACTTTAATATATTGTACTGTAATACAATACTATATTGCTATACGATACTACAATCCTATGCTATATACTATAGTTTATCATATTATACTATATACGACTATATTTAAATTTACTATAGACAAATATACACAAATATATAATGTAGATTGCACTATATCATCATCATCATCATCATTGCCTTTTCCCCACTATTTGGGGTCGGCTACACAAATCATGTTCCGCCATTCTGCTCTATCAAGGGCCATACCCTCAGGGAAGCCATAGGTCGCCATATCTTTTCTCACTACTTTCAACCATGTCCGTTTGGGCCTACCCCTTGCCCTTTTTGAGCCTTTCACTTGCCCTTGCACTATAGAGTACATAATATATATTATATCATACTATTCGACTATACTATGCTTCTACAATATATCATCATACTATACCACATTGTTATACTATACTACACGGTTATACTATATTATAATGCTAGGAAATCTAGATCTTGTATAACTCAGGACCTCAATCCTTAATAGGAGATTACAAAATTTTAATAATCATAGAGGAGCAAAATCCCTTTCCTTAGGAGTACAAAATCGATACTCCAAAGCAAAGTCGACCCTTGGTAGGATGCCAATAACTGAGGACCCGAATATGTCAAAAGTACCACCATTTCATAACTAGGTAGTAACCTAGTTAAACTACAAATTACAATGAATGAGGCTTTAAAAGGTGGGTTGTCTCGGCACCTAGGCAGCGCCGAGATGGCCTCAGCACCTCGCCTAGCTAAGGCAGCTTGCCCCTTTGTCGGAACTTGCTCTCCTAAGCGGATTTGGATGCACCCGATCTAATCGAGATTGCCGCCAAGGTGGGCTCCCATGATGCCCCAACCAAAGAGCAAAAAGAGGCCCTAGTCTGCCATTTTATGTCAAATCTATCAACCCCTCAATCCTTGTCTTATAGAAACTTTTTAGAGAAAAACCCCTCTAAAGTCCAAATTCTGGGAAAATCATTTTTTTGGGCATTGCAAGAAATCTTCAAGAATCGAAAAGGGTTGCTATCAATTGAATGTGAGACTTGAAGCTGATTTGGTCCGACTTGAAGCTGATTTGGTCCAACCTTGATTTGATTTCCAGAGGTTAGTTTATTTCGATTTTGGGTTTGTATTTGTTGATGGTTTTTTATGTTGGGTTTTGGTTCTGTAATTTATCCACAAGTTTGGGTTTGGGTTTGTTATCCTTTTTCAAGAATGGTTGCTTTTGTGATTTTTTTCAAGTTTGGTTTTTGAACTTTTGGTTTTCCACAATTTTTTCAAGTCTGCATTTGGGTTTGTTGGCCTTTTCAAAGGTCGAGTTTGGGTTTGTTGACCTTTTCCAAGAATGGTGTTGGGTTGACGACTTTTCAAGATAGGGTTATGAATTAATGATTTGTTTAAATATTATGTTTTGGTTTTGAGAATTTTTTCTTTGGGTTGGATTTCTTGGCCTTTTCAAGTTTGGTTTCAATTTTGCATATTTTTCAAACTCGAGTTTGGGTTCATTGACTATATTTAATATTGAGTTTTGGTTTTGTGAACTTGAAAAAAGTTTTTAAGTTTTGCTTTCTTGAATCTTTTGGTGTTTGCTTTTGATTTTTTATTGCTTTCTTCAAGATTGGGTTTGTTTAGTTGCACGTATTCAAGATTGGGTTTTGGCTTTATGAATTTCAAGTTTGGGCATTTGATTTGTTGCTTTGATGACGATGTTAACCTCCGTCTTGATGTTGCCCCATTGGCACCGGAGGATATTAGGAGAAAAGCGTTGGCCCGTTATGAAGTGGGCCAAAACAAGAACGAAGATAAAATGTAGAAATAAGGGGAGACAGGTCATATAATGTGTTTGGGAAGAAAGAAGATGACTATTGTGATGAAGAGGCCAGCCCAAGGTGGGGCTTAACTAGAGTTAGTAAGAGAGGGAGATTGAAAAGAAGATGCCTCACAGAAAGGGGCCCATGATTGTTATGTTAATCCCCAATCTTGAGGCTGTGATGAGAGATAGGAACCAAACTACTACGAAGAATAGCTTCAAAGAGGAGATCAGGGAGTTATCCCAATACATAGCCTGATGGACATGTCAAGCAGGCATTTTTTTCAATGCCTCTACTTTGAAGAGCTTCAAAGCTATATTAGAAGCAATGGGACAGTTTGGGCTGGGTTGAAGCGCCCCATACCTTTGAGCTTTAGGAGCCCATGCATAAGGAGGTAGGGCTCACAAATGAGTATATGAAGACACATAAAGAGACATGGGAAAAGTACGGGGTCACAATCATGATTAATTCATGGACCAATAGAAGGGGGAAAAGTATTATTCACTTTACGGTGAACAATGTTTTTTGAGGTCCATGATGCATCTAAGTTAACACATATATAAAGTGCCTTTACAGCATAATGGACGAATGTATAAAGAAGGTGGGCAAGCAACACATCATCCAAGTGATCACAGACATGGCTGCAGCCAATATGTCAGCAGCCACACTACTGAGGGAGAAGACGCCACATCTTTTTTAGTCAATATGTCAGGAGCCACATGACTGCCTCCAAGCATTCAACCCTTTGGGGAAGGTGCTGCACAGAGCAATAGCAAGAAGGAACCAGCCATAAGTCATATTACGAGGCAAAAGAGGAGACAAGGTCTCAAGGAAGCGATAGCAAGGAACTTTGGATTTGATGAGAAAAATTAATCAAAACTTTGAAGATCGTAGATGAAAAGTGGGATAACCAAGTACAACGGCCCTCGCATGCAGCATAGTATTTTCTCACCATACAGTATTCTATACTGAGGTTGATTCAAACGGTTGGATACCTCAATTCCGATATAAATCTTTAATATCTCATAGCAATGGAGTTGAATATGTATAACAGTATAAGTTCTCAATGGAGTCACTTAGAACAGATATATTAATACGGTAGAGGACTAAACTCGATTCAAGTAATCTTGTGCTTATTTATTTTACAATTTGTAAGTTGAGCACTTGAGTTATATAATGCTACCTTACTAGATAAATTTGTTTTTTAAAAAAATGTTATTGCTATGTTATGTAGCTCTATGGTGGGTCACACATGGAGGAAAAGCCAAGCTCTTGGAGGATGGCACTTTGCATTTTGAACCTAACAGGTAGTTCTTTTGGATGCAAACACCGCTTTAGCTCATTGGAGTTAGTAACTTCTTAACTCATATTGTCCGATCCGTTGCGTTGTTTCATATGGTCCTGTTCATTGCATTGTTTCTTGTAATCATGCACTCATTCATTATCGAGCAAGTCCATACAAAAAAAAGAGAAATAGACTCCAGCAAAGAGTCTGAACGATCTAGTTTATGTTCAATATAATCAAAGATTGAACGAGTGCTTTCCTAACAAACACAAACCCCCGAACACCCCTCCCCAACCGCCCAACACCCCTCCCCCCCCCCCGGCCCGTCTGCCTCCACCTAGATGGTGTGTAACGCCTTCTTAAACATTAATAGAGATTAATAGATACGAATTTTAATTAAGCTTATCCCTTATTCTGCAACCAATACTAGAAGGATTATCGGAATATCTTGAACACTAGTAGCCTATTTCAATGTGCTTATCCCATTTCAACCCCAAAGAGATATCAACAAAACAATTTACATCAGGAAATTCATATTATTAACAACCAAAACCTAAGTGAAAGATTAGCTTACAAGATATATCCATAATTCCATATAAAAAAAGAAGAAAAAAGAAGCTATATAATATCCAAATCGTAAGTGTCCAGATTCCAGAATATATAATGAATGGAGGACCCCATTTTGAGATGGGAAACCTAAGAAATCATCACCACATATAAATTCAAACTTGTATCTCAGTCGCAACAAATCATAGTTCGAGTGTTTCCTATGCGTTTCTCCTATAAGTTTCCTATCTTTCCCACTCTTTTTCCCCAAAGTTTCCACAATGCATTGCTGTGTGAAATATTGAAATTTTCATAAAGTTCATATATAGTATATGTAGATCAGTTTCTATTATGCTTCTCCAAAATGTTCGGACTTGCCCTCGTAAATTTTCTAGACTCTTGATTTTGTCATTTCAGACACATTTGCACCATTCTACATTATTGCCTAGTAAACCCACTCCCCATATCCATATCCTGGCAACCATGTCCTAGAAAATACACTAAAATGTCATTAAAAAAATGCAAATCATGTGAATGGACATTGTAATCATAAAAGCCTGAATCTATTAATAGATAAATCTTGGCAATCAACATGATTAAAGAGAAGGCACCAAAGAACAGCTTTTGAGCACCCACAAAAATGATTCCATTACGCATTCAAGGATTCCTTTAGTTTTAAGATGAATCTACAATTGTCTTATCTATGCATTATCCCAACAATATGGACAAAACAAATAAGACTTACATTCAATGCATCCATCGCCATCATTGCAGCATGATGATCAAAGAAAGTTGCAAAAGCAACAACCTGTATGCAAAATGAAAGGAACTCAATTTTTCAGACAAATAACATCTGAGAGGACTGAAGCATGTACAACAGCAGTCTTAAAGTGACTATCTATCATTTGTCTCATTGATAACAAAGCAAACTACAAAGTGAAAAAGGAAAAAAATATAAGGGCAATTATCGTATGTGCCCATCAAACCTCAACCCAAATTCCCCTATGAACCCACAATTTTACAAACAATTGACCGCAACACCCAGTGCCTTGAGGAGCTCTTTCAATTAAAGAACATCGGTAAACTCCAAATAGAGAAACCCACTGATGGATCGATGCTACCCCTATTGGAATTCTTCAAGAAGTGATGTTCCAGAAGGACTTCACTTCCATCAAACGCTACAACCTTTGAATGATGTTATTCTTTTAAGAGTATTGTGCGCTCCATCATCCGTTTCACTCTCCAACTAATTGGGTATCAAAGGCCATCATGGTCTGACAGGACTCATGATTCACAATTGGTTCTGAAGTGGTTCAAGATAAGCCACAACAGACTATTGCACTCAATGATTTGGCTATTAGACACTACCAAAGTCTAATGGAACTCAAAAAGTCACTATCAGTTCGGAGGGGACTTCTTGGTAGCCATTCATTAAGTTGCAAGAACAACAACTGAGTTTTCAATAAAACTATGTAAAGGGCACCATGGATACCTCTCCACACATTTGGTGAAATATTTTAAAATTCATGCTAGTGGGAAAAAGTTGTGCAGGTAAGGGTGTATGTTCTATCAATTTTGGACGAAATTAGACTAAGATGCACTTGCTTGGTAACTTTCTCATAGATGTTGAGTACTACATGATCATTCCTCTTGCAAGTTTCAAAGAAAACTTTTAGAAGAATGCAAGTCAAAGGTAAAGTACATTCGCAAAATAGCATGAAATTGGTAACAATTTAAGACTCACGGTCTTTTATCTTTGCCATCAATCAGGCTCATCAGCCTAATCTACAACAAAGAGGGGGTCATCTGCAGATACATGAAAACATATATTATTTGACATGAACCAAGGATGAAAAACATAAATTATTTAACATCTACATCATTGTGTAGGGCAAGAGGAATTCAATTATCTATTGGTTTTCTCTTTATCAATTGCTTCTCTCAAACCCCTTTATTTCCTTTACTCATATAGCACCATCCCTACTTGTCCATTTTCTCTCTCCAAATGATTTCTCAAACTTTACACCAACCAATCTCCTCTCTCTGCCCCACCAATATCAACCGATTCAACCCTTGTGAGCAATTCAAGCACCATGAAAAGCCATGATTAACTACATACGCTTCAAATCAGGCACTTCTTCATTGCACACAAGAGATTCACATGCCATTTTCAACTTCTCTCTATGTAGAAATTGGATCCGTGATAGCATAAGCACAAGGCCTTAAGGGCACTTAATCAAGAGCAACCCTAACATGTGGTGCAAAACAGGCACAGGGACAAGAGAGATCAGTGACTGACTTCACAACAGTAACTAGATGATGAGCTAGTCGATCAATCAAGGAGGAAACTCCATTGATCACCGTCAAGTAACAAAAGGAACTATGGGACTTTAGCCCTTTTTCTAGCCACCACACCTAGTAGGGGCTCTCCAACTCACAAGTTGGGCAATCTCTATCTCTCTCTCTCTCTCCCCACCAAGTAGGAGGATAAGAATCCAACTTCATTTCATTCATAAACAATACAACTACTACATCTGTTACAACAATGTATAATATATACGAACCCACTCGTGGCCTTATACAATGACCAAAATACCCCTAGCACAATGGGAATGACTAAACTACTACACCCTATTCCCCATGCATTAAAATTAGCTCGCATGCAAGGTCCATCCAACCAGGTTTCCATGTTGCAAGTCGTATTAATGCAACCAGTTTCCAAAGCATAGGAAGTCCACATCATTGACTCTTTAACTTATGGGAACTCAAAACAAAATATTTTACTTTGACTTGTGAACTACATGGGGACTCCAGAACACTTAATTCTACCCTTAATTTTAAATTAAAACCCAAATTAAATCCCTAGACAAACTATGAAATAGCCATCATCATCATTCGAGCCTTATCCGAACTATTTGGGGTCAGTTACATGAATCTTGTTATGTAATTCTACTCTATCAAGGGCCACACCCGCGATGAGACCATAAGACATCATATCCGTATCCTTTCCTTATCTTTGTCCTTTTAGAGCCTTCCACTTGAACCAAATCGTGCCTTCTAACCGGGCTTGTTCTAGGTTGACACTACATATGGTCAGACCACCTCACTCAACTTTCCCTCATCCTATGGCCTATTGGAGCTACCCTCAAGTTCCCTCGGATGTATTTATTCCGAATTCTATAGAGTCTTGCCACTCATCCATCTCAATATGCTCACCTCAACTATACTCATTCTATAGATACATTGTTTCTTGACCGCCTAACATGCCGTCCCATAAAGCATGGTTAGTCTTACAGCCGTTCTATAGAACTTCCCGATAGATTCATTGGTATGCAACGATCACATAAATGATACTCAACAAATAAAACAACTCCCACATGCCCAGCTTAACAAATATTGTAACTCCATAACGTCTTTCATTTTTTTTGGGGGGTGAATAGACATCTCCCTACTTCAAATTCAAAACATGAACTTTGGTCCGACAAGCCCCTTGTTGCGATTTCCATCAACATGTCAATGAAAAATGGCATACATTTAACACCCACAAAACTAGGGTTAGCAACGAGCCAGGCCAGGCTGGTCTTGGCCCTAGCCCAGCCTTGGTCCCCATAAGGCCAACACAAGCTTGGCTCGGCCCTGACGTGGTGAAAGAGGCCCTGGCCCTAGCCTATCATGGCTGGGCTAGATAAAAAGGAAAACAAATCAAGGAAAAGACCAGCCCTATCATGGCCCAAGCCCGCCCAGCCCTCAGGCCACATTTTGTAGCCCAACCTAGTTTTTTAGCGCCAGACCAGGCCAAGCCACCCGACCCATTGCCAACCCTCCATAAAACTAGGACTAAGAGTGCATGTACATAATAAAGAAATGAATTTATGCAATTTCAATCAGGGTTGTAAAGTTAACAATAAATAAATAAACATGACTAGCCTAGAACTATACATTAAAACTCCCAAAAACACACATCAAGAAACTCGAATATTAGTGAGCTTGTTTATGAGATTTAAAGCTCATATGACGTATATAAATTAAGTATGTATTTAACAAAATAGAACAGAAACACCAAACCAAAAAAGAAATTACCAATTAAAAAAAGTTAAACTTTCACTAAACATTGCATCAAAAGGTAAATAAGACGGTGTCAAAACGCAAAAGCCCAAAACTCTATAAATTATATAAACCTTCAACTTCAACTCAAGAAGACAACTGTGTGTCAATCAAAATAATAACAGTAGAGATAAGAATAGAAGAAAATAGAAGATGCAAAGAACATCAGTTGCTACAAAACCATATTCATTTTACCTCTGAAAGTATATCCTAGAATATGAAAAGGTTCATCATATTGCTAATTGGCACCATCTTAGTGTTCATTCTGGTCTTAGCGCACATCAAAAAATAGATTTCAATAGAGTTCTATAACTCAAAATCTGCCCAAAAACCCAACTTTGCATGGAAGTCAAAATCTATAAAACCTTGATTTCACCATGAACAAGATATGTTACAGTCAATGTTCGAAAAATTGTTACAGTCAATGTTCGTAAAAACGGAGGCAGGCGCCCAAAAACACCGTCGCGGTGGCGGGGGCGAGGGGGTTGGTTGTGGTTACATCTAGGCTATAATCTATTTATTTCAAAGATGGACATTTTTTTGCTCTATATTGTATTTATTTCAAAAAATAATATCCCAATCACTTCAAATACATACATGAAGGAATATACACAATATTTTTTTATTTTTTTACACAAATTCTTTGTTGCATAATATGAAACCATATATTGCACTAATCCATAGTCAAGTTTCTTATAATCTTTTTGAGGTTTAGCCAAATTTCTTACTTTTCTTATAATTAATCTCGCATCCAACCAAAACATGCAACTAACCCTAATATGTAAGGGTTCCTTGCACATTTAGTACTACATGTCACGAGATTAGCCCTTTTCTCATCAGCGATCATTTCAAAATCACATTTAAAGAATAAAAGAAGCCATTTTTCTACTCAATTTCTCAAATTAACCATTAATTGGCCCCAATTAATCATCAGAGCAGTAAAAAATCAGGGATTTAATCCCAAAACCCTTTATTAAGGGGGCTTATGCCTTTTTTGGGGTTAGGAGGCCAAGATTGCCCCCCAAAACCCTTTTCCCCCTAGAAGTACTTTTTTCCCCTTGGCCAAGGACCTTCTTTTGCCCTCGGCCAAGTTGTTCCAAGGCGCGACCTAGGTGCACAACTTGAGGTTACCGCCTAGGAACAAGAATGGCCAGGGTGCCTATCTAAATCTTGCCTAGGTGTTTTGGCTGCCTGGCTACCTAGCCGAACTTTCAAACATTGGTTACAATAAACCCTAGAGATGGATCTCTTTGATTTGAATAAACTACAATAAACATTAAATAAATTTACATAAATATGCCCCAAATCAATATTATTAAATTACTTTTTCCCTTCATTTTTTTTACTCGCGCATCCTTTTTTCTTATTTTTTCCCCCAAAATGCCACCACTTCGAATTTTCAATACTGGAAGTAACAGTCATTTTATTACTACTGGATCTTGAAGATCCGAAGTCATGACTTCCGATCTTGAAGATTCAAAGTTGAGCCATTATATACAAAGTCAAATATGACTAAGGATCTTGAAGAACCGAAGTTACATTTGTCAAATTTTACTTTTTGTATATGGGGAGTTGACTTCGGATATTTAAGATCCAAAGTCAAATGTGGATTCGGAACTTGAAAATCCCTAGTCGTATTTGTGTTTGGAAGCCTGACTTCGGATATTCAAGATTTAAGTCATAAAATGACTGTCACTTTGGCGGCAATTTGGGAATTAAAAAAAGAGTCAGGTAAAGTAGAAAAATTAAAGGGGAATTATTTAATAATGTTAGTTTGGGGGGATATTGGCGTAAATTTCTCTAAACATTATTGCACATATTAAAGCTAGATTAATATAAACCCTCCAAAAAACCTAAATCTACAAATAAAACCTTAAATCACAGAGACAAGGTACCGTACCTTCAATGGAGTATTGTTTGACACATCAAGCTTATTACAAGAGAGAGAGATTGGATATGGTGGAAATAAAACCCTAATCTCAGAGCACCAAAACCCCATAGAAGGAAAAATGGTAGAGCCTTGGATTGACAGTAAAGATAGAGACGAGTGAAGAAAGAGTGATTTTGGTGGAGTGAGAGGAGAGAGAGTGAACTCCATCACAATTTCCACCCGCCTAAGAAAGGGGGGATGTGCAGTGGGGAGGTAGAGAGAAAGTGAGGAGGTAAAAAGAGTGTGGAACTATTTGCAATATTGTGTTTATCTTTTAGTTGCAGTTGATACTTATTTTAATAAAAATTCTTCAAAAGTGCAAAATCAATTTTGCTGCCATATCTTCTCTCACGTTGAACCATAACGGGGGTAAAAGGTGAGCAAAAGTGAAATTCGATTATTACTTTATTCATCTCCTCCTTTGACTTTCCAACAAAATTACATAAACACCCAAAGAATCAGGGAGGCATTCTCTCTTCATCAAAATCGTCAACAACCACCAAATACCCAACCGTCTAGCTTCATAATTTTAACAAAATTAGAATTAGGGTCCTAGAGGTCTTTTGCTAGGTCAACAAATCCTCAATGGAACTCCTATTAACCCCAATTTCTATGAGACCTTAAATCTACTACAATTGTCTTCCGCAAATCTAAATAATATTGCTTTGATACTAGTGAAGTACAAAGGTAAGGATGAGCATCAAAGTCGTAGATTTGGGAGGGATGCCGCGAGGTTGGTCATCACAGAAGCCCAGAGTTTTCAAGAACCCTTTTAAAACTCTTAGAGAGTAAGCTCTGTATTTTTTCACTATGAAAACAAACCTTCTCTCTAACCAACCCCCCCCCCCCCTTTTATAAGGAAAGACCAATGTTCTGATTCTCAACGGGCTTTTCAGAAATTGCCCACCCACAAAATAGGCTTTTGTTCATTATAACCACAAAATATTTTACCCACTAATTTATTATCTATAACATTGCATTAAGACAAAACTTATTTTAAAACGATAAGTATGTAACATCTCTCATTGGATTCTTCTAATGAGAATAAGAACAGCAAGGTGAGGCCTTATGGCCACACGTGCCAACTCAGCTAACTCCGCGGTGCTTTGCACTAGTCCACCCCGCAAGCCAAATGGTGGAACATCCTAAGGATATTCCACATCAAACCGCAAGGCACTATCAGGTACTTGCTCGTTAGCTATCTCTTGCAAATATTTAGCCTTGGACGAAATTTAGCACATGAGTAGGGCTTCGTTCCCAAACAACCCGACTAATCGATAGTGTGTCTTGAAGTGCGACAGGCTCTAGGTACAACAGGGCTCTCACCCTCTCTAGAACCCCCTACCAAGGGATATGTGCCAAGTCCTCTGCTGAGGATGTTTCTATAGACTACAATTTGGGTAGTTCGACCACTTGATTCCCATGTTCGGCACTACCCTTTTTGCTCATCAATGCTAGGGGAATCCTAGCAAGTATCTTCTCCTCTGCTTATCGATATGCTTATTCTCATCACTAAACCCTGCCTGACTTGGAATCGCAGTGTGGAAGCCTTTCATGGCATGATGGTTCATGTTCATTGGGGCCAATCAGTGTTGTGCAATCGACTGCGACGTACTGTGAAGGCCACTAGTCGTTGCGTCACCTACACACTCCGAACTTGGGTTTGAACCTGCTGAACACCCACCACAAGAGCAGGGAACGAGAAGCCATCTTGTGCACCAAGTCCTGCACTAGAGAGCAAGAGAGCACAGTCGGCACTTGGCCATACTCACAGGCAGGTATGCCCTCAACCTATGGTCCAGGGCACAACTTGCTTTCATGATGCCCAAACAAGGGTATGTCACACTATATACACAGGAAGTAGAATAAATTGCTTGTAGCATTGTAGGTACTTATGTCTCTGGATAAATCACTTCATAGATGACTTAAAGCTGTAGATAATCGACATGTGAATTCAAGTTTATGTGATAATCAAGCTGTACGTAGATTAATATGAAGTGGAGCAAATAACTCCAAGGTTAGCACATTAAGGTGCAATACTACTACAAGCAGGATATAGTTAAGAAGAATCACGTGACTATAAGTTATTTGCCCTCATCTGATATGATTGGAGACCCACTGCTGATCGTTGTCAGTGAGAAGATTTGCATTAGAGTGAAAATCCTCGTGACGGAAGTTCTTGGAATTTTTCATAAGAGGATTATCAGCTAAGGTGTTAAAAAACATTAAGACAAGATATTGTCATAAAGGTTATTTTCAAAAGTGGGAGTAAACTTTTTTTGACAAATTACAGTCCTCAATCCTCATATGGCAAAGTGGGAGATGTTGGCACGTGTGACCATGGGGCCTCAAGTTGCCACTCCTATTTTAATGGGAAGAATCTCACGACAAATGTTACATGGTTATCCATTTAAGATAAGTTTTTTCTCGATGTAATATTTTTAGATAATTAATTAATGATTTTGATTCAGCGGTCATATAGTTGGGAAGATAAGCACAAGCCTATTTTCTAGGAGCTTCATTTCTCATAAACCCATGGAGAATCAACATGTTGGGCTATCCATCCTTTCCTTATAAAGGGCCAAAGGGGGGTATAGAGAATGATTTGATAGTGAAAAAAACAGTGTTTACCTAACTATCTTCTCTCTGAGAGTCTCAAAAGGATTCTTGGAAACTTCGGCCTTTTGCGCCGACAGCTTAGCGGCATCCCTTCTACCCTCATCAAATGGGGAAAGCTACAATGGGAAAGTGGGAAAAGTCCTCCAATGTTACCCGCTTTTCCAAGTTACCAATGCCCCCTTAGTGTCTGAATCCCTGATCTAAACCTATCATTCAAAAAGAGAATCTAACCTAACTTCCAATAGTTTATACCATCTAAAAAGCAAAGGAATATCATAAATCATACAAATGTCCTGATCGATGTGAACCCTTTGCATTCTCATGATTCTGGACTCTTAGTCAACTGCCCTAGCTTTGCAAGCCAATGTCAAAAAACTTACATATACAACATAATGAACTACCAACCCTGCCCAGAATGCAAATTTGAATGTCACAATCAACAACCAGCTAAATGTTCAGGAAAATGCCCTAAATGTTCACTTTGTGGTCATTAAAAGGAAGAAGATAAAGAATCAAAGAAAAAGAGAACAAAACCGCACCACCTCTTGTTTCAAAACTAAATCAAAGCACCATGATCAAGTTTCAGAAACCCTAACCCTAACCTTACCTGGTTCCCACGCCCCGTGTACTTGAGCTGGCACGATTCAAATCCATACCTTCTCCTGAAAAGGTTATGAATCTCCCTCGCCTTCACATCATCAGGTAAACCCGAGATGAAGAGGGTCTTGATCTGCTCAGTATGTACAAAATTAGGGTTTGCGTTCTGCTGAAAGTAAAGATTCTGAACTTCGAGCTCTGGTCTCCTCTGTTGAATTACAGGGGACATTGTAGTCTCGGCAGGAGGAAGAGGGGGAATTAAAGCAGAGGACGGAGGAGCCGCCATGGCATGGTGATAGAGAGGAGGAGGAAGAGGCTCTGGTTTTTGATGGTGAAGATACGAAGAAACCATGGATTGAGCAGCCATGGCTTGAGCGTTTGCATCCATTTTCTCAATTATTATTATTATTTTTCCTTTCTTTCTCTTTTCTACTTCCGTGCACAGGAGCGAAAGGGGAAAAATTGCAGCGCTTATGGAGTTCGGACGGGGAGAGAGAAAAATATATCGGGGATGATATTTTGGGGAAATTGATAATATGTTTGTGGTAATAGATAACCAGTAAGTGTCACACGAGTTACGGCACGAATGCGGTCCCCTGACCATCCAACTTAGGGTTGCCTGCGCTTGGCGACCCCGGCCCGAGTCCCTATAGCTTTTGCCCAAGCCTGGTTGTTGGTATGTGTGTGGCCATAAAGCTTCAAAAGTGCCACATATATTTTTAATATAATTAAATTTTTTTAAAAATTATATATTATTTTTTATTTATCTTTAAAAAGCTTTTAAAGATAGAAAATTCTTTTTCCAATAAATAGTAGATAACTCCCGTATCTCCCTGAGGGCTACTTCTCAGTTCTCAACGGTTCTGGAAATGCTTTGCGATTTACCGTCCAATGATGTTGCTCATCAATACTTGAAATTTTTGGCGACTATGTCTCCTTCCTTTCTTAACACTTGTATCAGAGCGGAAGTTATTGTACTGCTGTAATTTTTCGTTATCTATTATATATTAAGGGAGATGAACACCATTACGATTTTTGCTTCACATAACTTTTTTATTCCATAATTACCCTTTCCTACTCTCTATTCTCTCTCCCTCCTCCCAACACCATATTTCTCTCTCCCTCTCTTCTTTTTTTAAACCTCCCCCAAAAAATATAAAAAGCATTAGATAGCTTATCTCACTGTCTCTTTCTATTTCCACACTATATTTCTCTTTCTCTTTATCTCTCACTTTTTCTCTCTCTCACATCCCTCTCTCGTTATAATGGTTTACTGATGTTTGAGTCTGTATACTTTTAGGGGTCGTTTGGATACCCGAAAATACATTGTCTATGAAATATATTACTAGCGTAATAAATTACCTGCAAATAGATTGTTACTGTTTGGGTAGTATTTAGATACAACCTGGGGAATACATTGCTATTGTTTGGCTATGTGTGGAAGAAATATAGGAAATACATTACCAATATTTTACCTGCACTTGCCTATAACTATCATTTCTTTCTTTTTTGTCACAAAAATCCACTGAAATGTAGAATTAAAGTCATCATCACATCATTCCAAAACGATTTTATAATAATAACTTCATCACCATTTCAAGATAAAGAGATAGAAATAAGGTATTAACAATCACAATTCCAAAGATAGAGAGTGTGCAAAGTATTGATCTTAATCATCATCATTTTAAAGAGAGAATGAGAACGTAAAATAAAATTGTCATTGTTCCAACAAGATTTACTAATATTATCATAGATATAGAAACTGATAGATAATTCATCATCATGGTTTTCTTTTGCTACACCTATTGACTCCACAATATCAACCGTGATTATATTGTTCTTCCTCGATGACATAACCTACGTTGATTTATCGAATGGCTTGGTGGTCATTCCATTCGTCCTTGATTGGACTGGTGTCTCTGGGAAGTTCTCATCATCACCTATTTCCTCAACACCATCATCATGTTCTATACAGACAATCATCTCGTGAACATCCTCAACATCATCATCAATGTCCCTCTCTAGTTATGTTGTAGTCCTAGCACCAGTACCCTCGGCAAAATTATTGCCAACAATTATGCTCAGCTCCTTCCAATATTCAAAGGACTTCCCTTTGAAGTTCTTTGCAAGCGGATTAGACTGCAATATTAATATAATATGCATTAACTTAAATAACGAATTTACATTTTTTTCAAAATAATAAAAAATTAGATAGATGAGAAACATACACATACCATTACATAGTCATCCCATAAAGATTCATCGATATTAATCAAATATATGAATAGTTCGGGGGCCTATAAAATCTCATGCATGCATTACAAGGAACTTGGAGAACTATGACAACTCAACTTCAGAGAAAATCCTTTTTCAACATAATCAAGTCTCAACTAGCTAATACCATAGTGAAATAAGGGCCCACCAAGGTCCGGTGACATAGGGATCTTTCTCACTATAGAAGCAACAAGTAATCAGGGTCGTGCACCCAAATAAGGACATAGGCATTTTTGTAAATGACAGTAGGGGCATGCAAAAGTAATTTAGGTTAGTAAAAAGGTGGAGGCCTAGTCCAAAACCACCATAATCAGTGGCTCTTCACTTAAACTCATGTCTACAAGGGACAAAATTTTGTGGCTAGGTTGAACACAATTGCAATCCTAATGTTACATAGAATGTAACTTGCTAAGCCTTCTAGCAGCAAGCGAAAAAATAGATTGTCAAATGGAAATCATCTCCATGGTAAAATTTATAGTGGCCAATATTCGGCATGTGTGATTTTTTTAGCTCAAAGAAGGTATTATTTATTCTAGCTTAAAGAAGGTATTATTTCATACATTGCAGCAAATTGAAAAACAAGATTGCTATCACTATCCAAATTCTAATGATTGGTTGAATTATACTCATTTTTTACTCACCTATACTGTTGCTGTCAGGGATGCCTTGATTATATATCTTAGCCTGCAAAAATTATTCACTTACCCAAAAAGTTGGTTTATGTTGTTATAATTACTTATTGACTGCCCAAAACAGAGAAGAAAAAAATAATATATGTGGTTGAACTATATAGAGCATTATAGGGATAACAAGGGTTGTCATGAATAACATTTGGAAAATTGCATATAACATTTGCAAGCGATTTTAATAGTTCTTTCCACAAACATTGTGTAATGAGTAAAATGAATAACAATTAACATGTTGAAAGGCATAAAGCTCTCAAGAATAATACAAACTGAGTATGTGAAATGTAAAGTACTAGCGATTCACATTTTAAGAATACAATGTAACATTCAATCAACAACCACCTGCAATTCAATAACCCAACAAGGTTCAATCTACTCACCATCAAGCAAAATGACTCGAGTGACTTATTTGTGAAGCTCTTTTACGAATTTTAATAATGAAAATGAGAAATAACTATGAAATTACTTTGTTATTTGAACTATGCAAACTGTGAGCTTTTGTCATTAGGATTCGCAAGTGACTAGATTTGGTTGATAAGCGAAAACACAAATGATCAAATAAGGAAAAGCTGTAAACTTATCTTTCTTGGCACTCTTCACATTGTACATTATATATCTCATGCAATTGTGCAAAATCAAAATCTCTCCAATCTAGAGCTAGGCAGACATTCTCGATCCTCAATTGTCTTAAATCGGTTTTCAAAACTTTCACTTCTACCCATTTCCTCTCTTTACTTAAAAATTGCCCTTAAATTTCAGGTCACTAGCAACAAGCAAAGCCTGCCATTGCGCTCTGGGATTCTGGTGAATCCCTTTACAACCCCAACTGGAGCATTAATACTTTCTCATTCCTCTCTCTCCATATCAAAAGCCATTAGAAAGTGCTCCTTGTTAGAAAATACATAATAAGTGGACCCAATGCATATTAACCTCTTTCGTTTGTGCAGTTGAATTTGTGGCAGTGGTCTCCAACTCTCGATCAGTGAATCAAATAATCGAAATATACTTAAATCATGGACATCTATGGATGTATAAGTAGAAGTATCAGCCAATATCTTGAAGTTTTAAGTGATGGGGTCTTAAAAGAACACAAAATTTAAAACATTGAAATCAAGCTTTGGAAGAGGGGTGAACACCTTATAGGTTATTGAGTTTCCAAGGTTAAAAATATTATTGCTTCATGATACCATCAAGGAGCATACCATGCCATAGGTCTTCATGTGGAACGAAGATTATCTTATAGTAAATATGACTGACTATATCAAAAGGGCAAACATAGAGCATTTGATTACCATGAACGTAGTGCCTGATGAAGAGAGATAAAGGCTGAGGAAGCAAGGAAGAGGAGAGAGAGTGGATTTGAGCAAAATGATGGGAGGAGAGAAATTGACACCATGATTTAAAAATGACCGTGAATCGGGAAATGGACTTCAAGGGCAAGGCTGCAAGGATCTCTGTCATCACATCACCTGGGAGTATGCAAGAGAGAGATTTCATCTCTCATTCTCTATGTCTCTACTAATTATTTATAAGAATGCAAAGAATTCAACAATTTAAGAGACAAATAGAAGTAACTGAAAATTGAAAAATCAAGGTTTTAGGACAAAAAAAATCAAAATTTTGAGCTAAGAACTTATTGATTTTGGATTTGTTGCCTCTAATCTACACAAAAAAGATGCCTTGCGAAAGCAATGGAGATGTTCCTACTTCTCTGTCTTTCTAGATGACCAACTGTAAAATTTTTGCCAAAATATGAGAGAGAGCTTAAAGAGACAAAGGGCACATCTTATGGTAGAAAGAGATAGATGTAAATTATTTAATATGAGAAAGATATGGAGGAGAGAGAGAAGAAAGTGGTAGGCCTACCAGGTTGAGAGGGAAAATGGGAGCTTGACAGGGAGAAGAGGATGTACACAGGAGAGAGGGAAAATGATTTTTTTGAGGGCAATAGATTACCCGCCTCGCGTGTAAAAGATTTCCCAGCCCTCCCCGGGTGTAATAAATTTCACAATATTTCGGGAAATATTGTATAATCTATTTTCATTTCCTTAATAGTAAATGTACACAAACAGTATAAATGTCATATTTCATAGTAATATATTTCTATGTAATATGTTTTCAGGTACTCAAACGACCCCAAATGGTGCTTTTGATAAATGGGAGTTAAATTCATTTTTTCTCTCTCTCACGTCCCTCTCTCTATCTCTCTCACGTCCTCTTTATCATATTTTTCCTTAAGGGTGTGTTTGATAAGTAGAGTTAAATGTCCCACTTCCATGTTTGATATTACTGTGTGGAAGCTATAAAATGGAAGGGCAGCCTTCCACGTAGCTTTTTTTTAGTATAAAAAATTGTTCATTTTTTTGAAGACATCCCTTCTATCAAAAGTGATGGAATAATTGTATTTCATAATTTATGAGAGAATCCCTCCCACTCCCAAAAACTCCACGTGTCAAACGCGCTCTAAATCTCTATCAAAATTTGGAAGTATGTCACTCTCCAACAAACTCTTTATATCTCTCTCTCCCTCTTTCCCCTATATATATCTCTCTCTCACCCTC